CTTGCTGCATGCAGATTGTAACTCGAAGCTCATGAACACACCAAAATCACAAGAACAACTTCCCAACTTGGGAAACAGGACCATCCATGGAGCACATGAATACAGCATTAATATGGGCTGCTTACTGGTACACTTGAACAATACAGAGCCATTGTTAATGTTGCTAGTAACACCTGTGTGTTTCCTACTATGACAAATCAAATATCTGCTGTGAAAAAAAACCTCAATTGGATTAAGACTAATTTTAGTCGGTTGCAATCAAGCAATTTGATTGGACAGGAGGCATTTCATAAGTGCTGATACAGGGTATAACGTCACTGGGACTTCTCACTATGCATATATCACCCCTCTTTACAGGTGTTCTGAACCGTTACTTAGCCTAAGGGTCCTCATAACAAACTTTGCGCTGCAATGAAGAACATTTTTCCACAAATAATATCTGAGTTAAATTATGAGTGGTTGTCAGAAAATGTCGAGGGGAAGGACAGAAGCCTGGATACTTCAATGCAAATCTCCAGGTAACGTTATGTTCATGTGACATCAGAAGATGTGGCAATGTACTGTAACAAGCTGTTAACTCACTGGAATCACACGTGCTGCCACAATAAATGGAAACATACAGATAAATGCACATAATATAAAACAACTAGCCTGCAGCAACGTGTAGACCTAGCTCACATTAAGTAGCAAGCTAGTCTGCAGGAATGTTTGTCTTGCTTGGCAACAGTCCATTTGCCAAACTTTGTGTTGGTGGAGTCAAATAAATGATTAAAGAAACAAACAAATCATAATCTGTTGTCACTTTTTACTGTTAACTTAAAAAAAGGACTTGCAGAACTGTGTATAAAAGCAATATCACATGAGAGAAAACACTGTTGTACTGAATATCAGCACGGCTATGATGATCTTCAGCACTCGGCCTTGCCATGCTGATATTCAGAACAACAGTACTTTCTCTCATGTGATATTGCTTAAATAACTAGATACATGAGACATGAGTCAAAACTGTTCATCTTTTTTGCTTCCATAACCTAACTGCAGTCTTTAAAGGCCCTGAACAAGCACACAGGTGTTTCCACTTGTGACAGCTAATCAGACCTCTGCTCAGGTGGAGAAAAGGCCTTTTTGACATGTTACAGTCAGTCAAATGAGTGGAGGCCTGCAGCAAAACAAAGTCCAAGCAGAACTCTGCGATGTGTTCAGCCAACTTGATTGTCTGATATAAGGTGCTAATGTTGTTCCTGGTGAGAAACTCATGTAAACTGTGAGTCTGAAAGTAAAAGTGTGGTGATAAGTCAGTCTGCTTGGATGAAACCACTTGCTGTGCGGTGTGATGTAACACGAACAAGACCAGTCTATACTTACAGGATGTAGGCGATCACTCCAATGGACCAGCAGTCTACGGCCTTACTGTATGGCTTCTGGGCAAGAACCTCTGGAGCTGGAAGTAGGAAAAAAACAAAACTGGTGAGCCTTGGCTACTTGTTTATGTTGTTTTAATGTGACTCCATTTTGCAGTAGCCTGGTGTTTAACAAAGCTTAATCCTGGATTGTGGTTTTATTAACATTGTCAGCTTGAGGTCCATTTAAAAACCCCTCTGCGATTTTTACATGAAAAAGTAGAAGTTTTATGAGCCTGAACACAGAGAAAATGTGCACACTCTCCATGTCCGTCCAAATTAAAATCACATGTCAGTTTGGTTAATGGTGGGAAATTTTCTGCGGGAGGTACAGGTTCTCACAGCTGCGAAAACATGTACATGAAAAAGACCCAAAATAAAAACCCAAACAAAGCAGTGATGTCATGGTTTATCGGCTAATTTTCTTTTAGTTTTCCTGTATGTAACATAAAGTTTACTGCTGCCTATAAGGCAGACTGCTCTGGCCTGACCTTCCCCTGCAGCTCATTACCGAGCCTCAGACAGAGCGAATTACTGACTACGGTGAGCTCACCATAACATCACTTCACACTCACACACACAAGGCTGGATCAAAATAGATTTGGCATGCGTACACACACTTAGCAAGATATGAAAAATACCACTGATATCTGGGGCAAAACATAAACTTTGCACACGTGTGCTGAATCAGAGCTTTGTTTATAGGTCTACCCTGACTCATTGTGATAGTTGGTCTGTGTGTGTGTGTTGTTTTGTTGGAATCACAATTAGAACATTTTTACACACTGAGGTCATTGTGTCTGGTGCTCACTAGTCCAGAAAGTGAGTTTAGGGTCACGTATGCTGATAGAAAGTAAATGTATGAAACATGGTAGTAATCTCAAATGTTTTGTTGACTCAGTTTGTTAAACCATTTCTGTTGCTACATTCTAATTACTTTGGTATTTCTAAACTGCATGCTCTACAAATCACCGTCAAACTCTGAGAGGAATCTAATCATCTTTGGACTCTGAGTCTCTGTTTTGACTCTTTTTGGTTGCTCTTCAGTTATTTCAAAACAAACTGCTGTTGCTGTTGATTGTGTTGTGCCAAAAAGTGTC